TAGCAATGCCGATAACCCAGTTGTGCTTAACGAATGAGGACTTTGCAGCCAAAATTTCTGAGGTAGGTGGGGAGTTTTGTCAGGATTAGATTTCAGCTGAAGGCCATTTGTTTCATGTCTCAGGCAAGCTGTACATCATTTGTACAACTGAGATTTCCAATACACTTTTGCTTGTCTTGCCAACAGCCATTAAATGAACCTTAAGCTGCAGAGAAATGATGGATTCAAGGAGACTCAATAACTCATAAGGCAGTCACTGTTTGTGTTTCCATTCGTGGTTTGAATAGCTGACCTTCTATTTAACAACTCCTACTTAACCTGGAGTCAAAATAGCACAAGCATTGAGGGTGTTTCACAATTTCAAAGCCTTTTCTATTCTGCCTATGCAAAAACAACAAGAATGAAACACATCTGCTAGGTTATAAATGTGCTCGAATGGTCCACTAAATCTGATATTATCTCTTTCATAAAGATGTGTTTTCTTTAAAAGGGAACAGGCTGCTAAACTGTAGGATGGTCCTAAGGCCATGTTAATATTTCAGTATCCATTCAGAATTCTTGCACACAATTCTCTTTGATAGTGTGAGACCTAAATTTGATACCACATTTGTCAGACTCCAAATCCCACCATCCCACCAGTATGGCCTCTGGCTGGGGATGGTGGGAGTTGTAGTCCAACAACATCTGGAGGGCTGCAGAATCTGCCCTGTAGTTGGTCTCTTTAAGATGTTTGTATACCACTTAATTATTTGAATTTCTTAGTAGTGTACATAAGAACGATTAAAGGAAATGTGACAATAGAACAATAATATAAAACCAAACACTTCCTTAAAATGCCTGCTGGAACAACAACAACAATAACAACAACAAATCTAGTGCCTGAAATTTAACTAGGAGAGTGCCTGTCTACCCTCAGTTGGTAAGAATACAAAGAGTAATTCCATGAATAATTCTACATTGCTCTCTATCCCATGCCATTCCAGTAATGCCTGTAATGCATTCATCTCAAATTGACGTGGACAGAGTACTGGCACAGAGCTCTTTTTCAAAGTCTCCTTAAAAAGGGAGGGAAATGCTAAAGTGTACTTTAACCTGATTGCCTGCTTTTCTCTAATATGAGAGAATTGCATCCTGTATTGGCCTGCAGCTCCCATGCGAATTGTCCTTAAGGATTTGGCTAGCATTATACCCATAGCCCATTCCTAGCATTTTAAAAAAATGTCAGGCAAGAATTGCTCAGTCGCACAAAAATCTAATAAGTGCAGAAAGCTTCTGCACAGTGATATGTGGTGGTTTTGTTCTGTTTTGATTCTGGATAGCAATCATTCCATCTTCCTTTGTTCTGCTTTCATTGTATGTGTCCGTGGTGGAAAAGCTGTGCTCCTCTAGATTTTTTAGACTCCAACTCCCATCAGCCCCTGACAAGATGGCCAATGGTCAGGAGTTGGAGTCCAGAACCATCTAGAGGTGCTCATTCCTGGCGTATATCATTGTGAAGCTGAATTGTTGTGAAATGCAAGGAAAAGGTTAAAAGCAATTGCAGCTGCACGTGTTCCCAACTGGAGGCTAGTCCATAAAAGCAAATGGGGCACTGACACAATGTCCTCAGTCTGTCCTCACCTGACTGCCTTCTCACTTACAACCAGACTTGGTAGTGGGCCTGGATATCAGCTTGCTTCTCCTTAGGCTCAGGGTTTCTCTGCACTTCTGTTTGTCCCGTGCCCAGGGACGGATTTAGGTTTGATGAGGCCCTAAGTTATTGACACGGGTGGCACTGTGGGTTAAACCACAGAGCCTCGGACTTGCCGATTAGAAGGTCAGTGGTTCGAATCCCTGCGACGGGGTGAGCTCCCGTTGCTCAGTCCCTGCTTCTGCCAACCTAGCAGTTCGAAAGCACGTCAAAGTGCAAGTAGATAAATAGGTACCACTCCGGCGGGAAGGTAAACGGCGTTTCTGTGCGCTGCTCTGGTTCGCCAGAAGCGGCTTAGTCATGCTGGCCACATGACCCGGAAGCTGTACGCCGGCTCCCTCGGCCAATAAAGTGAGATGAGCACCGCAAGCCCATAGTCGGTCACAACTGGACCTAATGGTCAGGGGTCCCTTTACCTTTAAGTTCTTGAAGGTAATGAGGCCCTTTATATGTCCAGCTGTCCTTTGTCAACAACAAATTGTCACTGTTTTTTGTGTTGAATATATGCTATGTGGTAATTTATGGACCTAATAGGTATCTAAAGCCATTTGAACACGTTGCCATGCAACCAGTCCATGAAGAATGTAGGCACCCTATATATAGAAATGAGCAAATCAGTGATATTTTAGCAGCAGGCCAGCAGGCAGGGCCCATTACTTGCCTCATAGGAGCCTACACAACACAAAACACTGTTGCTGTATGTAGGTTTTGTTTTATTAGTTTTTTATCTTATATTTTGGAAATGTTCATCCAAGGTTTCTTCCTTTAATTTTTGGGAGGGCCCTAAGCTATAGCTTGTTTAGCTTATATGTAAATCCAGCACCGGTCCCATGCAATTTTCCTCGTGTCCTCTGCTTTCTAGGCATATGTCTGAGTGGATTTCTGTTTGCTCTGCTGCTTTTCCTCAGAAGACCCACGTTTTATCGCTGAAATGTAGCAAAAGTCAATCCCCGGAAAACTGATGGCTCCAATTCAGCGTTTGAAATATACTCAGAGTCGCAAAGTGATTTCATGCTCTTTATTCAGCTCATAGTGGTGAGGAGGAATGAATGAATGTCCCCTCAAAGTATCTGCTTTATATACATTATTTACACAATGGGCTGCACATGATTGGCTAATTCCGGAATTCTACTGTAAGCCAATCAGGTTGTGGATTCACTTCTATCTGGAGCATGATTGGGTGGTTCCTGCCAACCAATCATACTGCTGCATTGTTCTAGGACCAATCAGACTGCTGCATTCTGAATCCTATTGTTCTAGGACCAATCAGACTGCTGCATTTTGGATCCTATTGTTCTAGGACCAACCAGACTGCTGCAGTTTGGATCCTATTCAACTCAGTACATAACAGCGTTCAAGATCAGATTTTCCCGGGGAACGTGGCAGGACAAGCAGAAATGTGGATGAGCCTATCGTCTCTCTAATATTCGTTTAAATACTCATTCATCAAGTTTCCATGAAGAGCAATGCTTGCTGTGGCATCCCAAGTAGTAACTGAGAGCTTTTGAACGAGGCAACTTCCAAGTCTTTTATTAGTGCAAAGAATAAGCCCCCTGTTTACTTGCAAAGCAATGGAGGTTTGGGCCATGGCAGAGAAAATGAATGCAGTATAAATCAGGTGGAGCAATGCCTTCAGCGATGTGCAATAAATAATATGCAAGCGCTCTAGTTTGGATGTGATCTGGCATGAGAACTGGCAATTGTGTCCCTATTTTCATCTGAGAAATGATGGGAGGTATGAGAGAGGCCTCAACATGGGCAACACACTGAGTATTAATAGATTATTACAATCTTATTAACTTGATTTCTTACCAGTTCTTCATCCCTAAGGTCCCTGATGGTGGTACAGAACAGGCAGAGTTCTGGGGCCCTGGCAACTGCCCAAGGATGCCAGAAGTACTGCCCTGGCAGTGCTTCCGGCTGATGCTAACCACTCTGCTAAAATGTCCCTGGATCTATGCTATCTGCAGGTTTTGGTTTCTTTTCCTGCGATCGCTTGCTGCTGAAGGGATATGCCTTCTGGATTTTTATACAACTACTGCAGCCAGTGACTGTTTATAAGGGAGACACTACACAGATGGAGACGGCAGTGAATTCCCTTCTCTTTCTATTCCAAAAAAGATCAAAGTAAGCAGAAAATACTACACTCAAAGGGATTGTTCTCTGTTCTCTCAGTCCGAAAGAGAGGTTGCAGTCCCCTCCGATTCTTATTTACTCCACAGTGAAGGTGAACAATGGAGGAAATGTTCCAACTGCTCTCTCTTTAATCCATGTATAAGCATTGGGGAGGAAGAAAAATCACAACAGTTGGGAGTTAATAATGAAGGAGGCTTCCTTGCACAGTTCTAGATCAAAGCCAAATGCCTGCCCAAGTCAAACAAATGGTACCTGCACTCTTCAACCTGGCTACTGGATGTTGATGTTTCGATTTGGGACTAGTTGCCAGGAAAGCGAAGAAGAAGGTTGCTTTCTGCTCCATACCACCACCTATTTTAAAAAGCTGTACCCTTCTGGGCAGTTCTGTTTTTTATAGACAGTTTCGGGTTTTTTTAAGAGAGTGCTTTGGGCCCATCTTCTTCTAGAGAGCCACACCCCAGATACAGTTTGATTAAACAAAGGATATTGCTAACTCTGCAGTCTTAAAAGAAATTTATCAAGTGGTAGGTACCATTGAACACAAACATGCATAAGGTTGTGCAGCTAAACAGGTAGCTGTGTGTACACTCCTTCCAGTATACAAATACAGCAATGGTACCCAGTGCCAGATTTACGTATAAGCTAAACAAGCTATGGCTTAGGGCCCCACACTCTCTTGGGAGCCCCCCCAAAAAATAAAGGAAGAAAAAAACTGGATGTACATTTCCAAAATATAAGATAAAAAACAAATAAAATAAAACCTACATACAGCAACAGTGTTTTGTGTTGTGTAGGCTCCTATGATGTAAGTAATGGGTCCCGCCTGCTAGCCTGCTCTCTAAAATATCACTGGTTTGCTCATTTCTATATATTGGGTGCCTACATTCTGCATGGACTGGTTGCATGGCAACATGTGCAAATGGCTTTAGATACCTATTAGGTCCATAAATTACCATATAGCATATATTAAACACAAAAAACAGCAGCAATTTGTTGTTGACAAAGGACAGCTGGACATATAAAGGGCCCCATTACCTTCAGTAGCTTAGGGCCTCATCAAACCTAAATCCAGCCCTGGGTATGGCCCAATGTTGTTGGACTGCAACTCCCATCATCCCTGACTATTGGCTTTGCCAATTTGAGTGGGGCTGATGGGAGTTGTAGTCCAACAACAGCATAGCTCATTTAGTAGGGCCTGAGACTCTTAATCTCAGGGCCATGGGTTCGAGACCCATCTTGGGCAAAAGATCCCTGCATTGCAGCAGGCAAACTAGATGGCTCTCGTGCTCCCTCAACAATTTTGTGGTTCTAATATCTGGCAAGGGCACCAGGTTGAAGACAGTTGGGCTAGATGGACAAATTGTCTGACAGATTTTTCCCAGGCTGGTCTACGTGTAATAATAGTTGGCTGCAAATCACACTGTTACTTCCCTCAGAGGCATAGGTATAATCGTGCAGGATGACAGAGGACGAGATGGTTGGACAGTGCTCTCAAAGCTACCAACTTGATTTTGACTAAACTGCAGGAGGCAGTGGAAGACAGAAGTGCCTGGCATGCTCTGGTCCATGGAGTCACGAAGAGTCAGACACAACTAAACAACTAAACAACAACAATATTGTATATGACTTTTTTTAAAGACATTAAGTAGTGCAAATAGCTTCTGTATGTTTCTTACTAACATAAGGATTTCACATGTGCTATGCCATATGCTTGTTTACATTCTTGCTATGACTTTTGGCTGCCTGCAACACAAATCTAGATTTAATCCGTAGACTATTAATCAATTTAATGATTTGCCCAAGACCACCTAGTAAGTCTTGCAGCTAATCAGGGACATGAATTTAAACATGCATGAGTGCCTTGTATCCAGACCCCACAAACCATCATATGCACCCATCCCTGCCCTCCATATTCCTTCCCCCTAAAATGTGTACTTTTATTTAATCTTGGATCTTGGGTGTTATATACTTGGCCCCAAATGCCCCAGCTGACTCAGAGACAAAACTAAACATTCTTTTTGAGGCACGAAAACAACAAAAAAAGGAGTATGTTACAGTTCCAGCTGATCTCTTGCAACAATGTCTAAAGTACGTCAAGTGTTTCTAATTAAGTCAAATTAGGCAGAAGGAGACACAGAAATTGACACAGAGTGCCTGATCTCCAAAAGTCCAGCTGTCTGAAGCTGAACACAAATGCTTCAGTGCAGAGGACATCTTTCCAGCTTTCCTTGAAAGGATATTTGAGAGCACAATGTATGCTATCTCCTCTTACAAGCTGTTTGAAAACAAGATTAAGGGCACTTCTTAAGGAAGCTCATTTCACAGAATCACAGAGTTGGAAGGGATCCCAAGAATGATCTAGTCTTACCCTCTGCAATGCAGGAATCTCAACTTCTGAAAATCAGTTGCTGGGAACCACAGGAGGGAAGCGGGCTCCTGTGTTCAAATCCTGCTTGTGCATTTCCCACAGGCATCTGTTTGGCCACAATGAGAACAGGATGTTGGACTAGATGGGCCATTGGCCTGATCCAGCAGACTCTTCTTATGATCTTAAGAGAAAACAAGTCTACACCATCCTTTTCCTGCATGGCAGCCCTTCAGATATTTGAAGACTGCTCTCATGACCCACTCCTTAATCTTCTCTATAGACTGAACACAGCCAGTTCTTTCAACCATTCATCAAAGTACTTGATGCTAAGGCTGCTGGTCCATGTTTTATCATTTAAACCTGCATTCCCACACCTTCAGAAGTTTTGGACTACAATTTCCACCAGCCACCAGCCAGTTCTTGGGTTGGACAGGTAGCTGGTTATGGATCTGTCTCTTCCTTGTAATATAACAACAACAACAACAATTTATTATTTATACCTTGCCCATCTGGCTGGGCAGCTTCCAACAAAACACTAAAATACAATAACCTATTAAACATTAAAAGCTTCCCTAAACAGGACTACCTTTAGATGTCTTCTAAAAGTTTGGTAGTTATTTTTCTCTTTGACATCTGCTGGGAGGGCGTTCCACAGGGCGGTTGCCACTACCCAGAAGGCCCTCTGCCTGGTTCCCTGTAACTTGGCTTCTTGCAGCGAGGGAACCGCCAGAAGGCCCTCGGAGCTGGACCTCAGTGTCCGTGCAGAATGATGGAGGTGGAGACGCTCCTTCAGGTATACTGGCCCTCAGCGCTGGACCTCAGTGTCCGGGCAGAACGATGGAGTGTGGTACCTTGAGTTACAAACGCCTCACGTTACAAACGCTTCAGGTTACAAACTCCGCTAACCTGGAAGAGTTACCTCGAGTTGAGAACTTTGCCCCAGGATGAGAACGGAAATCGTGTGCCCGCGTTGCAGCAGCAGCAAGGCCCCATTAGCGAAAGCACACCTCTAGTTAAGAACAGTTTCAGGTTAAGAACGGACCTCCGGAACGAATTAAGTTCGTAACTAGAGGTACCACTGTACTTGCAAGCTGAGAATGAGCTCTGCGGCTCTTCTGTGAAACTCTGGGCCAGCTGGCTTGCATTCATTCACATTTTAAACAGCTCAAAACAACCCGTCACCAAAAGCTGTAAATGTTTATTTGGTTGCTATCATTATCTGGTATGAACAGAGAGGCCTGGTTTCCTTTGTGTACATCAAAAGAGGGCTGGGAGTGCACACAATCCAAGCTTTGGTGCGATAAATCTTCATCCAGTCCAGCGAGCTTTTATCATGGAAAGCTCTTCAGCTCTTCAAACTCAACTGGTGAAATAAACCATCTTTGAAACTTCAGGACTCTCTTGCCGGTTGTCTGAAATAGATAGACTCAAACTAAGCACTGGGTGTTGTGAGATTTGCCTTCTTGTGCAACAAATGGGGGTTCTTTGAGGTGATCCACACTGAAGTTAATCCTTGGCTTCAGTGTGTGCTGAAAAACCCTTTGCAGACATTTTGTGGCATTAGGCTTTAGCCTTCTCTTCCTAGAAGACAAGCCCTGACTGGAAATGAAAATGAGGCAAGTGATTAAGCAAAGGAAGCCGAGATTAACAAATATATAATCAGAAATAGCTTTCGGTTTTTGATACTACTTATCTGGAAGATTCCAGACCCTCCAAGTGTCCCTACCTTCCAAGGACAGTCCAACATTTATGGAAGCTGATTTGATCCTGGAATGTCCTGCTTTTCCTTAGGACATCCCTATTTCCATTGGAGAAATACTGGAGGGTATGGAGTTACGCAACCCCCGAGCCAAGGAGATAAGTAACTATACAACCCTTAGAAGACATCTGAAGGCAGCCCTGGACAGGGAAGTTTTTTATGTTTAATGGTTTATTATATTTATATATATATATGTTGGAAGCTGCCCAGAGTGGCTGGGGCAACCCAGTTAGATGTGTGGAGTATTATTATTATTATTATTATTATTCAGGATGTCCCTATTTTCATCAGAGAAATGATGGGGGGGGGTATGAGATTCTGGTACCACCCATTTATCTACTAAAAGTCACTAATAAGGGGTGATTTTCTGTATGATGTTGTTATGTTTACTAAGAGTGGAAGTAGACATTGCACAGGAATTTGCCTTATACCGAGGCAAGACTATTTGTCTATCTAGCCTAGCGCTTTTGACTAGCAGTTCTCCTGCAGAGTCACAGGCAGGGCCTTTTACACCACCTGTTCCTTGATCTGTTTAACTGTGCATGCCAGTTTAACCTGGGAAACTTCAACACATAGATATGGTGGGCTTCAGCCTTTTTTGAACTACAAGTCCCATCTCGCATTTCCTCCTGAGCTAGGGTCTCTCCGTTTACATGAAACACCAAAACGCTGCTGTGTATCTTCTTCCCCTCTACTAGTGACAACGCCGCACTGTGATTTATCTGACCCCAATGGCAGCTAATATTGTGAAGTGGGGACACGACAACCAGGGGTGGAGCAAGGTGGGGGCGGGGGGCAGACTGCCAGGGTGTCATCACCGAGGGGGGGTGACATTCGGCACACCGCCTGCTCGCGACTCCCGCCTACCCCGAATCGTTGGGGAAAGGGGAGAGCTGTGGCGCTTTGCCGGCGGCCTTCCCCTCTTCCCCCTTTGTTTTGGCAGCCCCGAGCTCCCTGGCTACTGGAGGAGGCATGCAGGCAGGCAGGGAGAGGATGGGAAGGAGGCAGGCGAGCAAACAAACAAGCAAAGGGTGGAGGGAAGGCGAGAAGCAGAAGCTCCCTCAACCCAAACCCTGTAACCCCAAAGAAAGCTCAACAACTTTGGCCAACCCTCCCCTAAAAAAAAAATTCAGCAACTTTGGTCAATCCCTCCCTTAAAAAGGCTCAACAACTCCTGTCAATGACAATAGGTAGATCACAGCCAGTCTTTTTATACTGTGAGTGGATCGCAGTCTCTTGGGAGTCCAATTAGATTTCAATGTGTGTGTGGGGGGGAGAGACAAGAAATTTTCTGCACCAGGTACCACCTGACCTTGCTACACCACTAAGGACAACGCAGAGCATGATGATGTCATGGGACAAGGGACAGAGGGAGAGCAATGTAGTGATGGGAGAGAATATTGGTTCATTTTTAAGGCAAACCTACCTACCTAATCCATACTACTCAAAACAATGTGACATGAAAGCACAGCCACCTTTCGAAAAGTGTACACCTCTGAATTTTGCAACTCAATTCTCCAGCCACATCATGTGTACAGAAATGCAGATATGGGGGGGGGGGTTAATAGTGTGTATATAAATGCAATTATTAATGAAAATAACTTGCAAGAAAGCATCACATTTGAGAAAAACACTCAGCCCTAGTGCAGTTGATCAGATGAGATTGTTGGGCGGCTTTCATTAAATTATCAAAGGTATCTGGCTCCCGGTAAAAGAACTGCTTGCACTTAGGCTGTACAAAACAGAGAAGAGTGTCAGTCTTTGAATGTAGTGGGCAATCATCCCCTGAGTCACTGCTTTGCATCGGTTGCCCCCCCTCCCCCGGCCAAGTCACAAATTTGGGCCTGGCTCCTGTTGGTGGACTTCTAAGTAGGCTGGCCAGGTACAAATGAAGACAAGCCTCCTACACCTTTAATAGTTGTGTAGAAGATGAAATGTCAGCAGGTGTAGCTTGTTGAAAATCGCCCCTCCCCCCGCTAATGAAGATGCAATACAGTGGTACCTTGGGTTAAGTACTTAATTCATTCCGGAGGTCCGTTCTTAACCTGAAACTGTTCTTAACCTGAAGCACCACTTTAGCTAATGGGGCCTCCTGTTGCTGCTGCACCGCCGGAAC